CCGGGACCCGCGCGGCGGAAGAAGGGCGCAGCGTCCCCTCCCCTACGGGGGTCGGTTTGGAAGCTGTGCCTAGCATCGACGAGGCCCAAGGGAGCGGAAATGGGTCCTGGCCGCACCCCGCGCGTTGCGGGTACGTTCCCCCCAAACCTGGCCCCGAGGGTCCTTGACCTGGGTTTGGGGGAAGCTCGTCCTTCCCCCCACCCCCAACAAAGGAGCACGAGGTCCCCGGGACTCGGGGCAGGGGAAATTAGTGAAGGGGGGAGTCCTCCAGATCACCCATTACCTGATTTCGCAGGAAACTCCCCGACTCCAGATCTTTAGCCCCGAGAGGCCCCAAGTCCACTGCGCCCCCCCCGCGCACTTTAACCCGACTTAGTGGAGGTCGACTGGGGAAAACTGGGACTCCCGTAGACACGCCCCGGACAGCTCCGAGAGACGCCCGGGAGCCCTTGTCATGTAAATACGTGTCGGAGACAAGCAACGTCCCAGCCGGCGGGGCCCGGGGCAAATCCACACCCCATGTCTGCAGCCCGAGGGGCCACCAGCTGTGGGGAGCGCGGCTCCGGAGTTCTGAAGATGGGGGAGGAAGTGCGGGGGTGGACTTTTATTTCAAGTTTTAATTACACAAGTGCTACAAGAACACATTCTCCTGGAATTAAAAAGATATTAAAATATTACGTAAGAGGCCCCCCTCCTTGGTACATCTCCATCCTCTCAGCAATTCGATGTGTTCCAGACCCTGCCCTAAATTTCTATTTATTTAACAAGCACGCACTTACCGCGTGCCAGCAACTTACCAAACACGAACACAATCTGACACCTCCTCTGAGAGGCAGGAATATTATTATCCCCATTTTACAGACACGGAAACGGGGCTGGGAGGTCTCTTGCTTAGGGTCACAGGATGGAGTCTGAGCTGAACCCAGGTCCTTGGGGTTTTCTACCCCCACCCCCATATATTTGTAATTCTTTAAAAACCTACATATCCCTGTAATGCCTGGAGTTTTAGTAATGAGTAGAGACTACTTTTGCATTCAGAGGAGACAAAAGGGTTTACAAGTTATTGGTATTTCCTTTTATAGATTGGAACCTGAGCAAAATTTTGCAGAACTCAGAGAAAGCCAGCCCAGGAAGTGGTGAGTCCGCTTCCTGAACCTGGCACCGTGATGCCTCTTGCTGTCTTAGGAGGGGGGGTCAGAAACTTTTCCTGGAAGGTTCAAGCTCAGGGGTGATTGACTGGTGAAGGAGCCAAGGCGCCTCTAAACACAGAGGGAGGTTCAAAGGCACTGACCATCATTTGTTTGGAAAGAGAACCTCACCCTTGGAACTCGGGGCCAGGCCTGGCACAGAGCCCAAGTCTAGGGTCCAGGAAAGGGGGAAATGCTCAGGGCTTACACTGAAGGGTGCCTCTGCCGTGGGCTGGACAGTCTCAGCCCCTACCTTAGGGAGGGGACCATCTCACCAGCAAGTCCATGGAAGGGTGGAAGGTCTTGCTGCAATTTGGCCTCTGTAGCTTGGAGAAAAAGCTGGAGGAGAGTCCTGAACACTCCTTGTGGGGCCCTGGGAACACTGGCTGGGCCTGGGGATGACCGTGAGTCCCACTATCTCCCAGGTCAAAGGAGACCACCATCACGGCCCCTCGTTTCAGCCATTCTTTCATTCATTCAGTCAGCAAACTTCCACTGAGCTCTAGCCCTGAGTGCCGGGAATTCAGGGGGTCAGCGACAGCACTGCCCTCCTAAAATCTCTTGCAACTGATCTGGCTGGTTTGGTAGCAAGAATCACACAGATTGATTGCCTTGGAAATGAGGCAGCATTTACACAATCCAGGTTAAACCACCAGCAGGCTAAAATAACCAGTTAATTCAGTGGATTAAAAAAACAAAATCCAGAACTACCCACAACGTTGACCTCTGGTTGATCTGTCTGGGACAACACAGGCCACATGCAAATGAGCACCCACAATGTGACCCCACTGTTTTGATGGTGGCACCTGAAACTAGTGAGTAGTCTCTGCCCTGGTTCCAAAGTTGGTTCTGCCTGGAGGCTTAATGTGGGGTGTCAGGTAGGTGGTGGCAGCTGTACCTCCAAAGATGAGTGGGACACAGTCACGTAACCTTGATGAATACCTTCCCCTCTCCAACCTCAGTTTCCTTCTCTATAAATGAGGGATGCTAACGGTGCCTTTGCCTGGGGTGATTGGGGGGGGGGGTGAAGGAGGCAGTGTCTTGGAAGTACACGCTGAGTGCTGAGTATGTGTCAGCAGTCAGGCTGTTTAGTCCTCCTGGAACCCAGGGAGGGGAGAAACCGGCTTCACATTATTTTCCATTTTACAGATGAGGGTATTGACAATCGGAAAGGCTTCATGTAACGGCAAGGCCCCTGGCTGAGTGGGTAGCAGGAAAGGACAAAGTTGCTTTGGAAGAAACAGACACCTGACTACCCACACTCATGGGAGGCTTCACGCGCACCTAGGGCTGTCGGACAAATGTGACTGTCAGATAAACCATGAATAATTTCTCGTATTGTGCAACATTTGGGCCATACTTATACTAAAAATTAATGCGTGGCTTATCTGAAATTTAAATTTAACTGGATGTCTTGTATTTTTATTTGCTAAATCTGCCAACCCGGTGTGTGCCAGGCGTGACCCCACATGGTGCTGGGAATTCAGTGATGACGGGGACAGAGCTCATTGTCAGGTGAGGCACAGGAAGGGGTGATACGGGCCACGGCAGGAGAGCTCAGTCTGTTGGGAGTGGAGGTACTGGGAGGTGGACCTCTGCTGGGCCAGCCTGAGTCCATGAAGGAGGCCGAAAGTCAGGGGAAGATGTTTTCTTCCTTCCGTCAGTAAATACTGTGTTCCTATTCAGTGCCAGTCTCTGTGCTGAGTACTGGGCACAGGGCAACAACCAAGACAAACTACCCACCCTCATGTGGCATCTCAGGGGAGTGGGCAGGAGAGACTACAGACATGCGTGCAAACCTGCAGCTAAACTTCAGACATGGTCACGATGAGCTGGAGGCTGGGCTGGTTATCAGGGAGGCCCACTGCAAGGAGGTGGCATTTCATTCAACTCATATCTACTGAGAATCTTCCTAGGGCCAGGCACAAACCCTAGCCCTCCTGAGGCTCACACTTGTGCAGGTGAGACAGATGACAGGTGTGTGAACATCTAAGTCCAGGCGATGGTTTCAGAGGGCCAAGAGCTGAAACAAACGAAGGGATCTGACTTGGATGCGGCTGGAGCCCAAGGGGTCAAGTGGCCTCTCTGGGGAGGTGAGACAGCAGGGAGGGAGTCTTAGGCTGGGGGCAGCAGGTGCCCAGGCCAAAGCCCTTGGTGGAAGGGGAACTAAGGGGAATCTGGGACTTGGAACACATTTCCCAACCCGGTTACAGGTCATGGGATTGTGAAATGGATGTGTGTCCCCAGACGACCGCTGGGCACAGGACTTTCAGGGCCTCCAGACAGCACATGCTCCCGTCTGCCTTGAGCCTGAGCAGGGGTTGGATCTGCAGCTGGGGGATCTTTAGATAGAAACGATATGGTCCAAGCCTGTAAAAGGCCTCGCTCCCGACGGCGCAGCCCTCCTGGGCTGGGCTCCGTGTGTGGCCAGCTTCACGGGTGTGGAATCCAGGCAGGCACCTCACTCAGGAGGGCCTCGCACTTAGTCTGATGTTGTATTGTCACCATCTTGAAATTCTTCATAATTAATAACTTTTGAACGATGGGCCCTACAAATCCTGCTCAGGTGCCAGGTGCTCATTGGGAGCCAGTCAGGGACCAGGGAAGCCAGCATGGGTTTTGGCTGTGGCCGAGGGTGGCTGGCCATGTCCTGACTGTGCCCGCTGGGGCCTGCTTGGACAGTGGGCAGTGGGGACAAGGCAGATCTGGGCCTCTGAGGTCTAGCCCTACCCCCTCACCTCCTGCCACCCCCAGGCCCGCGGGACAGAGCTGCCTTTTCAGAAGCAGCCTCCCGCGGCCTGAAGCAGTTGGCCTAGCCCTCCTCCAGACTCACCACCATAAGAAACCCCTTCCAGCTGAGTCACCTCCCCCACCAGCTCCAGTTCTGCCAGTGGTTTAATGGGCCTGTCGACATTCCCAAGTTAGCATCTTTGGACTTTGTGTTTTTATTATTTTTTGGTCTTGTTTTGCTTTTAAACACTGTAAGAATGAACGTTTACTGGACACTGCCTGTGTGTTAGGGCTCCTTCTACAGATGTCATATTCTTCCATTTAATCATTCAACAAACACGCATCGGGATTCCACAGGGAGCTCAACTCACTGGAGCCATACCACAGCCCCGTGAGGTCCAAGTTAATATTATCTCCATTTGAAAGATGGGGACACTGAGGCTCAGAGACCCATGAGTAAGGTGGAGTGGGATGTGAATGCAGAAATTTTAGCCCCAGGTCCCATGGGCTGACCTCAGCAAATGGTGTTTTCTGCTCCCCTGCTCCATCCTCACTACCTCTGCCCGTGTCCACCCTGCTTTCCCCACTGGACTCGGGTGACATGGTTCCCTGCGCTCCCTGGGAGCTTCCCTGGCTCCACCATCTGCTCCCCTGCTTGGTGGTTTTCATCCATAAAACCTCACTTTCAGAGGCTAAAAGTAGCTGACCTCTGCAAGGAGGGTCGGGGTGGAAATGAACCAGGGAGGGGAGAGGGCGAGGACCACATTCAAGAGAGGCACCTCCAGGCGCTTACTGCCGGAATCCCACGTGGGTGACCTTGGCAATCTGCGTCGCCTTGCTGAAGCCACATCTCCCCTACCCAGGGCCAGGAACGGTATTTCACAGGTGGGGCTGGGGGAGTGGTTCAAGGCCTCTTCGCAGTGACCGGGAGCATCAGACACGTGTTTGCGGGTTCACTGTCAGTCTCCACTTGAGTGGCGACTCCAGGGAGACAGGGCAGTGTGGCTTGTCGTCCCTGCTCCCCTGTGAATGCATTAGTCAGGGTCTGGCGTGCAGCGGCCGCTTGGCAAACCTCTGTGGATTAAATGAGTGACATCCACACACGTAAACAGGTAAGTCACACTCGGGAATACGGTCCTGACGACTGACAGTTCTGTCTTCCCAGCTTACTCTCTCTCTCCGCCCCTGTACACTCTTTTTTCCCGGTCTTCTTGTGCTGGCTAATGACAAGCTTCTAACTAAGTATCTGGAAGCCAGGAACCTGGGCAGTGCCTACTGAGAAGTACAGTGCTTGCCTGGTCCCCGAACCAGAGCCACAAGTCGTAACCATAAAGATGTGAGGAATGTATGTGCGTGCGCGCACGTGTGTGTTGTGGGTGCAAGTATGTGTTGCACATATGCGTGGGATGCATACTTGTGCTGTGGGGGGTAGGTGTGTGTTGTGTGTGCAGGTGCCTGTGTTGTGTGTTTTGTTGACTGTGTCCTATGTGTTGAGGTGCTGATGCAGGAGCTTAGCTTCTGGACAAATGTCACATGGCTGAGCACTCCAAGAACGAGCCAAAGGAGCCCTGCAGAGCTAGTCCCAGATGCCAGCAGGGGCATCACCTCCTCCTCTCCTGTCCAGCTGCTCATTCCCAGGAGGGAACTGGCTTCTACAGAGAAGACAGGGCTTTGGAACTTGGGCAGGGAGATGAGTGGTGGGCAGAAGGAAAAGACAGAAGGAAACATGGGAGCCAAATCCTGTCTTCTGACAGATGAGTAAACTGAGGCCCATGCAGGGTCGTAACCTGGCCAAGGTCAAGCTGCTGGTGAAAGGCAGAGCTGAGCCAGCATCCTGCTCCCGACTCCTGGCCCAGGCCTCATACGCAGGGTCTCTGGTTACCTTAAATAGCTTAGTTTACAGACCTTCCTACCACAGGCTGAGCCTGAGAGGGGTTTGGAAGATTCCAGATGTTCAACTCAGGGCTGAAACACTTTCAGAAAGAACTGTCATTCAAGCTGATTTCATGGCCCAGGAATACTGGAGCAGACATGTTCTGTGGCTCTGGCCTCCTGAACGATACATTTCACTGTTGTCAGGAGTGATGGATAAGGTAACGGTGTGATTCTGGGTGGCATAAAAGGCTTTTGTTCCAGGCTGGGTGGCGGCACTCTGCTGCTAGGTTTGGAGGGGGTCCTGGAGAAGAAGGAAGGGATATGAGGGTACAGGCCAGGCTCGTCCCAGTGGGTGCAGGGAGGGCTATGTCCACCTCGCTGCGCTGGGCCAGTGACAGGCACCACACTTGGTACACAAAAATTGTTCCATATGGCAGGCCAGGTGGACATCGAACTCCAGGGTACTCAGCCACCGCAGCAAAGCCAGGCTTTGCTTTTACAGAGTTTACCCTCTAGGGGCTCCATCACTGATTGATTCATTCCCCAAACACCTAAATTCTGCATGCCAAAAACTGAGGTCACACAAGTATAGGCCACCACTTCTTTTTTTTTTAACATTTATTTTTCATTGAAGTATACTTGATTTATAATGTTGTATTAGTTTCTGGTGTCAAGCATAGTGATTCAGTTGTAATCTATCTATATAAATTCTTTTCCATTACAGGTTACTAAAAGCCACTGAATACAGTTCCCTGTGCTATACCGTAGGTCCTTGTTGTGTATCTGTTTTATATACAGTAGTGTGTAGCTGCTGATCCCAAACTCCTGATTTATCCCTCCTCCCCCTTCCCCTCTGGTAACCATAAGTTTGTTTTCTACGTCTGTGAGTCTGTTTCTGTTTTGTAAATATGTTCATTTGTATCATTTTTTCAGATTCCACATATAAGAGATATCACATGATATTTGTCTTTCTCTGACTTACTTCAATTAGTGTGATCATCTCTAGGTCCATCCATGTTGCTGCAAATGGCATTACTTCCTTTCCTTTTATGGTGGAGTAGTATTGCATGGGTTATCTCTATAGATCATATTTTCTCTACCCAGTCATCTGTCGATGGACATTTAGGTTTCTTGCATGTCTTGCAGGCCACCACTTCCGTGTGGCCCTGATTAGGAAAATTAATTAATGACTCCAGGCCTCAGTCTCCTCATTTTTAGAACAGAGATCATAAGGGGCCTTACTCAGAGTGCTACTGAGAGAGTTAAATGGGAAAACTCCTGTTCGGCACCCAGCATAGGGCCTGGCCAGGAACAGACTCTTGAAAAGAGTGAATTATTGTTATAATTGCATGCTCTGTGCTGCTGGAGCTTCCAGTCCCACACCAAACAAATGAAATGTAGAATCCCTTTCTTCCCTTTGGAGAAGCTGGCCCAAACCCTCATTTGTAATGAATTTGTGAGTCGTTTTGTTCAGCATCTCTGGCTGGACTGCACCCTGTGTGTCCTCAGTGTCTGGTCTCAGGAGCAGATGCTCAGATGTCCTCAGGGCCTCCAGAACACCAGACAGGAACCACTGGAATCCAGAGGAATAGGGCATCGTGATGCCCCAACAGTCCCCACAAGGTGTGGCACCCGGAAGATGCCCTGTGCTTTCCACCTGCAGCCCCTCTGTCAGAGCTGGAGATACAACCGCCCCCCACCTCTGCACAGGGAGCCCTGTTCTCAGATACAGGCTTGGGACCTCTGTCCAGGAGCTGGCTTCAGAGGCGATGAAATTGGCGCTGCATCTTTGAAAGAGGCATGGGCTATGCCTGCCTAGTTCTGTGTTGTATCCACAGCTGTGGGTAGGCTAAAGCCACACAGCCAGACTGGCACCTATAATTGCTCAGTAAGTATCTGCTGAATGAATGAATGCAAGACAATTTTGCAGTGTGTCTCAGGCCTTAAAGGATCAGTATCCTCACTCTCTAGTTCTGTTTCTACAACGTATTTTAAGGAAATAAGCAAAGAACTGATTATTAAGGACAAGAATACTGACCCTATTTTCACTTGGAGAAGCAAAATTCTATGAAATTAAGGAAAAACAGGAGATGGGTTGAATAAAGAAGGTCAAAGATAATGCAACTGTTAACATTTCAAAGGTCACTTGTTGATACAGAGAGAAGCCCTTATAAAGCAAATCTTAAATTAGGCTTCAGAACCGACCCTAATTTGGTACTAATAAAATTATATTATTAGAAAAAAGACTGAAATGATACGTGCCAAAATGTTGTGGTTAGTTTTGTGTAATGGATTAAATGAAATTTACATGTCTCTTCGTTGTTTGTT